GAGACCACCACAGCAGACGGAATCGCAAATCGACCACGTTCTGATTGATGGACGCACTTATTCGACATTATCGACGTCAGGACCTATCGTGGCGCTAACATCGACTCTGACCACTACCTGGTGATGGTCAAACTACACCCAAAACTTTCCGTCATCAACAATGTACGGTACCGACGCCCGCCACGGTACAACCTAGAGCGCCTGAAGCAACCGGATGTCGCCTTAGCATACGCGCAGAATCTCGAGGCAGCGTTTCCAGAGGAGGGCGAGCTCGATGTGCCCCCTCTAGAGGACTGCTGGAGTACAGTAAAAGTAGCCATCACTGACGCAGCCGAGAGTACCATCGGGTACGTGGAAAGAAGTCGACGGAATGAATGGTTCGACGAGGAGTGCAGAGCTATTTTGGAGGAGAAGAACGCAGCGCGGGCGGTAATGCTGCAGCATGGAACCCGACAGAACGTGGAACGATATAAACAGAAGCGGAAACAGCAGACCCGCATCTTTCGGGAGAAAATACGCCGCCTGGAAGAAGCGGACTGCGAGGAAATGGAACTGCTGTGCCGTTCCCAAGAAACACGGAAGTTCTACCAGAAGCTCACCGCATCCCGCAACGGCTTCGTGCCGCGAGCCGAAATGTGCAAGGATAAGGGTGGGACCCGAGCAAAGCTGGAGATCAAATTGAAATCAAAATTTGCTGTTATGATGTAGCTTATTTTGAATACTCCAGTTGATCTCATTTTGGTTGACTTAACGGTTAACGCAGCAAAAATGAGAGCAAAATTTAACACTGTTGAAGCAAACGGAAAACGAATCCTGCTTTCAATGAAATCAATTTGATTACTAATTTTGCATTCATAATGATTAACTGAATACGGGCCTGGAGTAAATGGTTACCATTCATGTTTCTCAAGTTTAGAGGCTTGGGCTCCAATCTCACCCGGGCAAGTCACGAATGACCTAAAATGAGTTAAATAAATCAAATAAACAATAATCCTTAGTTCAACGACAGATGAATTTCAATTAAATTTTAAACAAAACGTAAACAGCAAAACTTCAAGTTAAGTTGCTTTCATTTAAAAAGTCTTGGCTGCATAATGAAAGCACAATATGATATCAGACATATGTCGCAACATTTGAAATCAAAATGAGTTTTCATTATGATAGGAACTGCACACTTTAATATCGATTTGCTTTCATTTTGTTAACCGACTTTGCTCGCGGACCCTCTTGACGGACGGAAGTGAGGTGATTGAAAGGTGGAAGCAGCACTTCAATGCGCACCTGAATGGCGAGGAGCGAGATGGGAAATGACAGGTGGGCACGAACTCACGATCTCCCAGTGTTGGTGAGTTCTTTGCCGTTAATGTTTACGAAAAGCTCACTATTTTGCCATACAGAAATTCAAAACAAAAATTTGTATCTGCGGATTTGGACAGTTTTTGACCTGTTTCATACGACTAAGGGTTTCGGGTGAACTATCCAGTTCATTCGAATCTCGCCGGGGACTGCGACAAGGTGACGGACTCTCATGCCTACTCTTCAACATCGCTCTAGAAGGTGTAATGCGACGAGCCGGGCTCAACAACCGGGGTACGATTTTCACGAAATCCGGTCAATTTGTTTGCTTTGCGGACGACATGGACATTATCGCAAGAACATTTGGAACGGTGGCAGAACTATACACCCGCCTGAAACACGAAGCAGCAAAGGTCGGACTGGTGGTGAGTGCGTCAAAAACAAAGTACATGCTAGTAGGCGGAACCGAACATGACAGGATTCATCTAAGAAGTAATGTCACGATAGACGGGGATACTTTCGAGGTAGTGGAGGAATTCGCTTACCTTGGATCCTTACCCACGGCTGACAACAATGTGAGTCGTGAAATACGAAGGCGCATCATCAGTGGAAGTCGTGCCTACTACGGGCTCCAGAAGAAACTACGGTCAAAAAAGATTCACCCCGCATCAAATGTACCATGTACAGAACGCTAATAAGACCGGTGGTCCTCTATGGACACGAGACATGGACTATGCTCGAGGAGGACCTGCAAGCACTCGGAGTTTTAGAGCGACGTGTGCTAAGGACGATCTTCGGCGGTGTGCAGGAGAACGGTGAGTGGCGGCGAAGAATGAACCACGAGCTCGCTGCAGTGTACGGCGAATCCAGCATCCAGAAGGTGGCCAAAGCCGGAAGGATGCGGTGGGCAGGGCATGTTGCAAAAATGCCGGACAACAACCCTGCAAAGTTGGTGTTCGCTACTGATCCGGTTGGCACAAGAAGGCGTGGAGCGCAGAAAGCACGATGGGCGGACCAGGTAGAGCGTGATCTAGCGAGCATTGGGCATGACCGAGGATGGAGAGCGGCAGCAGCAAACCGAGTATTGTAGCGTACTATTGTTGATTATGTCTTATCTTATATGTGATGTTGTACAAATAAATGTATGTATGTATGTATAGTTATATTGTTTTAAAATTGCCCCCTACTTCTTTTGAATTGTGACATCTGGCTTGAGCAGTTGTAGCAACAATCAATACGAAACTATCGATTTTAAATTGGTTCACTACTTGACTAGCCTATTGGTCCCAGGCAAATCGATTAACGTACCTGATTCTAGTCAACATTCTAGTACTACACTATGTTTGTTTTGAATTGCTATGAAAGTTTGACAGATAAAATGAGGGGTTAATGAAATTTCCTACACCCAACCGGTGGATGTAAGATTCGCTTACAATTATGTGGGATTCATCATCAGAGGATGTAAGTGGAGACCGCATGAACCGAGGATGCGATATACCTAGCTGCGGTCCAATGCAAGAAAATTGGAGACCGAAAAATGTGGAGTGTATTAGTGAGTGAAATTCATTATGTCGAAAAAAAAATAGGAAAAAGGTTGCCGACTGGACTCGAACAACGAACGTTGCGATTATCAGACCTGTGCTTTCTTCACTGCTCTCTCCATGCTACTGAAAATGGATAGCCTAAAAGTAAACAAGAAGCGCTCATTTCCTCTCACACTCGACTTCGTATGTTTTTTTTCTGCTGGAGAGATTCGAGGCAAGTGTGTGCGTCGTTCTACCATGTTATACATAAAAATCAAGGCAAATGCTTGCTTGTGTAGGTGAAAGCACAGATAGAACACGAAATAAAAAAGGCAAAAAACCATTACATCGCCTGCAAGGTCAACTTCTAACATTCGCTGAGATGTTCATGAACAGAGGATGATAGGAAATGGAACTAACATTCATTGTAAAAAATTTTTGGTTTGCGTGTATGTTTTGGAGGGGTGCATCGATTAGCTTGGGACCGAAGATAGTACCAGAGCTGAGCCAAAAAGTTGAGCACGTTTCTTCGGGACCTACTAGACTTAGAGTTACCGCTATGGTTGTAGTCTAATGATTTATGTTTTTAGATTAGTAGAGCTGCACCTTCAATTTATTGTGCAACTGTAAAACTTTAAAGCTCAATCTGAATCATCTTTTCAGCAGAAATTAGTACTATCCAAAACAAATGCCCTGAAATTTTTTTTTTATGATTTGGCCAATTTCTGTTTTGGTTGAATTTCTCATTTTTATGATGTTTTTGAATTTAGATATTTTAAAAATATTTTTGAATCCTTTTTCTAGTTTCAAAACAGCCTCCTCCTTCTAAATTTTGAATTGTGGCTTCTGATTTCTAACTCCTGTCTTCTGACGTTTGACTTCTCATTGGTCGATTATTAATTAGTCCATTTTATATTGGTAAATTTTATTATATATTGATCAAATTTCTTTCGATTTAGTTTTAATTCAGCAAACTTTGGTTGAATGTCACATTTAAACTTTTATGATGCATTAGAATTTTGATTTTTTTAAATATATTTAATTCCTGCTTCTTGTTTAAAAACAGCCCCTTAGTTTTAAATTTTGATATGTGTCTTCTGACTTCCAACTCATGACTTACAACTTCTAACTTCTAACTTCTGACTTTTGTTTTCTGTCTTCTGTTAACTAATGTCTGACTACTGACTTCTGACTTCTGTTTACTGATTACCTATTACTGATATCTGATTATACTGATACTGATTATTTATTGTGCAACTGTTATACTTTGAAGTTCAATCTGATTCAACTATCCAGCAGAAATTAACTGATACTTTGAAAAACAACTGTCCTGGTTTTTTTTTATGATTTGGAAAACTTCTCTTTTGGTTGAATTACCCAATTTTATGATGTTTTGAATTTTGATATTTTAAAAATATTTTTGAATCCTTTTTTTAGTTTCAAAACAGCCGCTTCCTTCTAAATTTTGAATTTTGACTTCTGACTTCTGATTGGTCAATTATTAATTGGTCAGTTATAAATTGATCCATTTTATAATAGTAAATTTTATTTTGGTTAATTTTTAATTTGGCAAAGTTTTGTTTTGGTTGAATTTCACATTTTTGAATTTTTTGATGCTTTAGATTTTTTTTCAATAGAATTGATTCCAGACTGAAGGTGAAAGTGATGCAATAGTTGTAGAATTAAAATAAAAACAACGTAAAAGGTTTACAGTTATTCTACTAAAACTCTTATCAATCATTTTAAACTAATCAGAGATTACTGATTAATGATTTCTGTTTATCAATTAGTCGGGCTGCACCTTCTGTTTAGTGTGCAACTGTAAAACTTTAAAACGCTCAATCTAAATCAACTATCCCGCAGAAATTAACTGTTCCCATCCAAAACAAACGTCCTGAAAATGATATTCCACTATCATGTCCATGCATAATTGCGGACCCAGGTTCACTGAAAATTAATTCCAACATTGCATCATTAAATTTCAATTCACCAATTCACCACCGAGCAACATCGTCCATTTGCCATGCCACGCCAGTAGCTCATCTACGTGCAATATGAACAACTAAATACGCATCGGATTCGTGCCCTGCATTAACTAAGCTAATAACGTCATAAAGTGTGGCATAAAGTTATGGTCGTCGGTCTAATACACTCGTCCGTCCTGTTAGGAAGGTAGCTTACCCCATTGAAGCTGCCCTGAAACGACTCCAGCGGAGTGAAAGCCAGTGTTTGCGGTGGATAAATATATTGCTGCTGCTGCTGTTGCTGTTGCTGATAGTAAAATGGCACCATCTGTTGCTGCTGTTGGTTGTACTGCATATGCTGAAATTGCATCAGATGACCACCACCACCACCGCCGCCGCCGCCAATAATGCCGGAAAGCTGCGGCGATTGTACCTGCGACTGGGGTTCACTGGATAAGGCATTCCGCAGCGGAGGCTTTGGGGGTTCACTCGGCGGGGATAGCTTACGGTACTGTTCATCCTGCGGACGGCATACCGTCAGGCTGACGTAGTTCGGTGCGGTCCGAAGCACTTCCAAGGCTTCCTGATTTTGGGCGTAATGAATGAAGGATCAATTAATCAATGCTGGTTTGTCGGAAAATCAGGCGGCGGTTACTCACGTAGTTGGTCAATCCGGTCAGTGGTATTCCGTTGGCTTCCAGCAGTATATCGCCCGGTTGAAGCATCCCGGTGGCCCACGCTGCCTGGTGGGGAAACAGTCTTTTGATGCGTATCAACCCCGGGAATGGGGCGGAGGAGTCTGAACCTCCAGACACGGACAGACCCAGCCCACGGGTCCCCTTCGGCACTTGGACCAGGAAGACGGTATCTGCGGGAGAGAAGAACAGAGAAACGGTGGAAAAATCTAATCTCAGTTAATTGCACGAAGGAATACGACGTCAAAAAGTTGAAGGATTACACTTCAATTTCAATTAACAATCAAAGTCAGGGCGGACGGACGCGATGATGCCGGTGCTGAGAATGATAAACGATGTTTGTCCTTTTCTTATTCGAGGAAGGAGAGGCAGCATTTTGTTTTGCACTGGACGACAAAAAAAAAAACGGTACACAAGCGGGTACAAACGGAACTAAATGGGTTCGTTACGACCATGGAGTGTAATTACAGTTTTGGTCCTTCTGGTCGGTCGTTGTCCTAAATAGTCGTTTGCTACTATTACTGCAGTTGTGATTTTCCTTACTGACTTCTCTCGCATTCATTACGGTAATTATGCAGCAGAGTAGGAAGTCGACGACGACGACGACAACGACGAAGGACAATTGTGTAAAATTAAGAAAGTGCCGTATTCGGGGAAAAGTTCTTGAGAAAAATTCAATGTTAATTTTACGAGCACTATCCATCGATTGTAAGCCCAGAAGGGGGTGTATACAATGGATGGGCCTCTGTGCGCTGAGCACCATTTGAGATCATTTTAATGTGTTAGTGCTTTCTGCTTTGCCACAAACCGCATACTGCGAATCATTCAACATTTAAAATTAATGTTCTCCATTTTATGATATAACGGCAGCGAAGTGTGACGTTCGCACTTGGAAAGAAATGGAATTATGGCATCCGTCAAGGACGTAGCAAGACCTTGCTTGCATTTTTAATCAAGGTGAATCATTGATCAAGGTATATTGTTGACTGTAACAGATTGTTGCTGTAGTTTGAAAATTGATGACCAAACAAGACAAGTTATCGATGAAGGTAGCTTGTCATACAAAGCTGATTATTGATAAAGGTCGACAAACATAATAAATAATAGTTGATTGTAGATCATGGCATGATTGCTGAATAAATCAAACTGTTTATCAAAATAAAATGCACAATTATTCATCAAACCGAATTATTGACCAAGGTAGATTGTTAATAAAGGCTTGTTTATCAAATCTAATTGTTGGTCATGGGTAATAATAGATCAAGACAAGTTGTTGATCAAGTCAGGCTACCGATCATTGTAAATGTATTTCATTTTATATTTTTTTAATTTTATCATAACAAATCAGAACAAGGTAAACTGATGATCATTGCAGATTGTTGCTCCAAAGATTTTCACACTAAGTCTTGTTTACTAACTACCTTCTGGATCGCCGGACGCATTCTTAGAATCTGGAACCACAGCCTCATTTCTTTGAACACGGTCTCCGAATTTGCATGCCCGAACTTTTCGTGATAGCGCTGGATCAGTTTCTAGATCACGTAGTGGAATCGGGACAGAATGATCGGATACCTTTTGTCGAAAAAACTCGCTTCGGCATTCGCAAGTCGACCGTCCATGCGTAATACGCTTTCGCTATCCAACACCGCTGAACATTTGTAGATTTAACTACTTTTCTTGACAGTCGCCATTGTTCCGTCCGGATGATGTTTCAAATTGAGCACGGTCATTTCGTCCGGAAAACTGTCCCACTGTGCTTCGGTTCGACGACCGATCACCCCGTGGAACAGCACTGCACCTCTTGCTTCCTCATCCGTCTCTTCTATCATCATTTCTTGCTTTGACCACTGCTCTTGCGGCCGATACAGGAACTAGAGATGAGCGATCCGCTCCCGAGCTGTTCAAAAGACCCGATTCACTAAAGTGAGCTGATGACCCACGGTTCATTTATTTGGAACTGCAGCTCATCAGCTCACTGATATAACTCTAAACCATTCAATCCGTCAATTAAAGCGAAACTTTTTAAAAAAAGGACTCTTTACTCCACTGAACAACCACCGCGTAAACCAAGAACACGAGCCTACTAGTGCTGCAAAATTTCTTCAATACACGGCGATATTCAAAACTATGCTTTGGTCATTCATTTGAGGTACCAGTCGTGGTCAAGGCAAACCATGTCAATTGTCAGTGACAATGCATGTGCAAATTTTGTATTAGCTAAATTTGAAACAAAATTAAATGACTTGAGTAAAACAATTACATGGATTCGTTAAAGTGAACTTTGTCATTGACGAAAAAAGGTTTTTTGAGGATCAAGTCTATCAGTGACTATGTGAAAACAATGTTGTCAATATCGTGCGATAGTCTGTCTACTGATCGATAGCATCAACGGTAAAAGCAAACTTCCAAGAGGTTGTATGGGAAAGAGATATGTACATTAGGGTGCTTCATTCTGAAAAAAGTGATGAATTTCTGATGGGCCACCCTCCAGTTCGATTCATAGCCCCAAAATATGAACCTGTGCAAAAATTGGTAAAGATTGATGAAGGTTTAGAGGTCGCGCCAATGATTTGAAATTTGTATGGGAATTACTATGGAAGAATTTAAAAAATCGCTTATATCGCTATAACTTTGCTTCTACTTGTCCAAATGTCGAAAAAATTTAGTATGTAATTGCTATGGCAATAAACAAAAAGCCTACAGTTGCTACGCTCAGTTTTGCAGCGTATCAAGAATTATAAAAATGTGAAAAAATGGCAAAATAGGGTAAATTGACAGATGAATATGTACAAGGCAACAACGCCATTCCACATCGAACGCTCGACTGTTTCGGTCAAGTATTGCTTGCACTCCGTAATCGGTACTAGTTTTTTTCCCCTATTGAGGTTTTTTTTTTTCAATCCGCTTTCATACTGAGTGGTGTTGTAGTATACAACAGTGCAGTGAGCATCGCGGAATTGTAATTGCCGCTCAATCGTTCGAGAAAGGAAGCAGTCATTTCCGGCCGAGTCCGGCAGATGAGCTGTACATCTCTAACCAACAAGTTTCATCGCATCACGAAACGGCAAACTCAAGGTCATCGAGTTCACCAGCCGGCGAGCCAGCCGGTGCTTTGTTGCAAACACTCGAGGGCAACAATAGAACGATCATCACCATCATTCTCACATCAGGATAGATCATCGTCATCAGCCACACTCCGTGCGCTTGTGTGGAGAGTTAAGTAACAAACGGTTATCTTCCGTTCTCCGCAACCTGATTAATCTCCATACAGTGTTGATTAACTTTTCTGACACCTTTTTGTTTTTTCCTGAAAAAAATTTAATTTTTTTTTTTTCTCTTTTTTTTTTGCAAGTTGATTAATCTCCCTATAGTGTTGATTAACTTTCCTGGCATTATTTTTTTCCATTTTAAAGTTTTTTTTTTTTTTGCTTTGTTGGATTAAGTATTATTTTTACCGTTATATTTTTTGGATAAGTTTATTTTTTTTCTTATTTTTTTTTTATTTATTATTTTTTTTTCTCAACGCATATATATATATATATATATATATATATAAATATATATATATATATTTCCTTTTTTATGTCGAAATCTGTTGCGGAGGTACTTAAGACCCCGCAATGGATGAAACCAATGATGGCGGGGGTATTTCGCTAGCAGATATCTCCGATGATGAGTCTGTTAAATCTCCATCATTCGAAAATCTGCTTCTCACTGAAGAGGAAATGGATACCTCAGGGGATTCTACTTCGGACCCCAAAACGAGCACTGGAGCTTACCCAAAGGTGATGTCTAAACAACAACCTCCTTCACCCCCTGCCCCCCCTTCTCCACCATCGCCCCCTCGTCCACCTGTTCCCCCTACTCCAACCGTTCCCTTAAAAATTTCTGCGACCCCCCGCCATAAAGCTTACCCAAGCGACTCAAAAGGTCCGTGGGTTGTTTTTTTCCGGCCCAAACAAAAACCTTTGAATATTTCTCGGATTTCGAAGGATCTGACAAAACATTTTTCGGCCGTAACCGATATCTTTAAGGTAACGTCAAACAAACTGCGCGTTACCGTTGATGACCTGAAACAGGCAAACCGGATTGTTGCCTGTGAGCTTTTTTCGATCGAATATCGAGTCTACGTCCTCAGTTGTGACGTAGAAATTGAAGGAGTGGTCACCGAATCGAGTCTGACTTGTGAGGATTTCCTGCAAGTCGAATCTTTCGGCATTTTCAAAAACCGTGCCCTCCCGAAAGTCAAGATACTGGACTGCATTCAACTGCAGTCAGTGTCGCACATAGGCACAAAAAAAAAGTATACCCTCTCAGATTCGTTTCGTGTGACCTTTTCAGGATCGGCATTACCTGACTACGTCACAATTGGGAAGGTTCGACTACCTGTACGCTTGTTTGTACCGAGGGTAATGAATTGCTTGAAATGCAAACAACTAGGTCACACCGCGGACTTTTGTCCCAACAAACCGCGGTGCGATCAATGTGGGGAGGAGCATACGGAGGGTCCTTGTCATGCTACCCCAAAATGCGTTTACTGTAAGGATGCTCCGCATGCTCTGAGTGATTGCCCGAAGTACAAACAGCAGGGAGAAAAACTAAAGCGGTCTTTGCAAGCTCGCTCTAAGCGCTCATTAGCAGAAATTTTAAAAACGACCGCTTCATCTTCCCAAACCACCCCAAAAAGCAACAACACATTCCACCTCCTGCCAGATGATGATCAGGGCTCTGACTCAGAGGTGGGTGAGAGTAGTCCTTTTGTCTTTAATGGCAACACGAGGAAGCGGTCCAAAATAAACGTCAACCAAAAACCTCGTAAGGCCTCTCGTATGGACTACCAACCTACCTTGACAAATTTAAGAGGTAGCGGAAATGTACCGAAACCCCCACCACCGGGATTTAAATCTTGTAATTTTAACAAGGACTTTCCGCCACTTCCGGGATCATCTAAAACCCCAGATATCCCAGTTTTTCAGCCAGAAAAACAGCTGAATAATCAGCAAGAACATGATGCCATGTTCACGTTTTCTGAAATTGTGGAGAGCATCTTCAATATATTCAACGTCTCTGACTCAACTCGGAACATTATTAATTTAGTGCTTCGATTCGTGAAAACTCTTTTGAAGCAACTAGCTTCTAGGTGGTCCTTCCTTGCATCGATCATATCCTTTGA